TAATAAGGAAGCTGCAAACCACTATATAACATGGATGAACCTTGAGGACATTATGCTGAGTGAAATTAGTCAGTCACAAAAGGAAAAATATTGCATAAGACCTTTATTGCAAAAGCTTAAAAAAAGATACCCATACTAAAAGAAAAAAAAAATTTTTTTTTTGTTGGTTACCAGAGGTGGGAAGGAGGGGATACTAGAGGACAGATTAGGGGATAGACACAGCATAGTTTGGGTGTTCGGATTGGGCAATACACAACATTGGGGAGGGCAATGGAAGAATAAGGTGATAGAGGAACACTTAGGTAGGTTTGTTTGAGCTAACTTGGACAGAGGTAAATAATGATGTATGCTCAACCTTGAAACAACAGGGATCTATGATACAGGAATCCAGGCATAGTCTGAATGGGGAAAAGAAGAAAAATAATGCTTGACTATCTATGCATGTTGGTTTCCCTTGCCTACTATTGTTAAAGAAATACTTGAGTGAGATGGAAAGGAATATCAGGAAATATGATTAGTGAAAGCTAGTAAGTCCATCTTCAATCTGTAACTGATTGGAATACCAAAAAGCATTCTAAAACTTAACCAGTAAAATAAGCTACTTGTGGAGCCCTTGTCATGTATAGGACCTTAGGTGGAAGACTGAACCCCATCCCGAACCTTCTGAGGTAGGACATTCCCACTTGAAAGTACATGCAGACCAACCCAGAGTGGCTAGAGGAACAGAAGATGCTTCCTAAGAGAAAGACCAGCAGGAAAAATGAAACCAAAACCAAAAGCAGGAGTCTATTTGACTATTACAAGTACAAGCAAGCTGTTCTGCGGGGAGAACAAGTAAGCAATCCAGTCCCTTCAGGACAAACCCGCCTCCAATATTGAAACTCAAAAGGAACACACGAGCAGGCATGCAAGCTTTTAGGTGAATGCATAGGTCTACATTTGAGTGGAAGGGGGAGAAAGTCAGTAATGAATATATGGGCTGAGTTCCAGCATGTTCCATAGACTCCTGTTGACCTCGACATGAGAGAGAGAGAAGAGGGGCTGGTTGATTCAAAGTCTGGAGAGATTTGGGAACTTATGAGCCCATGGACAGTGACTTAGCCATGGAGGGCTAGAGCTTATAGTGAAGCGTCCAGCTGATATGAAGTGGGGAGAGACCCACAAGAACACCCAAACTTTCAGATAGTACACATTTGATATAGCTACAATGACTTGATGACCAAAGCTCAACTAGAGGAAGATAAAGAAATTTGATAAAGGAAGCAAGTGTAAATTGCTGTAATTTGAAGAACTTGACCTATACTTATGGATGTAGTAGCTCAAAATTCCAACTGAGAGGGAAGGAATCTTCACATCAAGGATCAAACTTATCCCTTCATTATACAAGGTTGACAGGGTCGGGAAACTTAGACATTGGCTACCTAAAATAGGGGTGGAGGGGCTATAAAGGCACAAAATTGCTGGTTTACAAATTTTCAAGAGAGAGTTTAGTTTCGGAGTGTGCGGGGAGGGAGGTAGAAGCCCCATGAATAATTTTACCTTTTCTCAATGCAACTGGTGATAGGAGATGGGAATAGGATTCTTTTGATTCAATAGTGAGTAGTTGTTATCATGACTAGTTGTAATTGTCACAATTGTAAAGGTAAAAGTTTTGTAACATAAAGGCAGAAAAGTAGATAATCTTACATTCCAGGAAGAGAGGTTCCCATAAGAATCAAGGGAGAAGAGCATGAGCAGAATGTGGGACCCTAACCAAAGAAATGACACCAGAGATGGAGGCAGAGATGATGGCATTGAGAGATAAAGCAACTGAGGATTCTAGACTTATGGAAAGAGTAAGGCTGTGTGCTGGCCAGGAGGCAGGCTTGCAGAATGTGCCCTTTGGTTGTTAAAATGATTATTTCTGAGTGTTTTTGTGTACATAAAAAAAAGAGAGAGAGAGAGAATAGAAGTAAATACTGTTAAATAATGATGCATGGAAGGAATTGTAATCACTGCAATGAAACAAAATCCAATGAGATGGGTGCAACACTGATGTTCTCACACATAAACTATCACTCAATTCACAATAAAATCTTTTTTTAAAAAAATAATGAATTGATGTATGTTCTGTGTGTATTTTTTCAACAAAAAATTTTTTTTTTTAAATATTAGCAATACATATGGCTAAGCTTCATCTCTCATACTTTGGACATATTGTCCGGAGGAAACAATCATTGGAGAAGGATGTCATGCTGGGTAAGGTGGAGGGTCAGAGAAAAAGAGGAAGACCTCTAACGAGATGGATTGGCCAGGTGGCATCATTGATGGACTCAAGTGTGGCAGCAGTAGTGAGGTTGGCCCAGGATCGGACATTGTTTCGTTCTGCTGTGCATGGGGTCACTATGAGTCAGTTCCGACTCGATGGCACCTGACAACAACAGCAACATGGCTAATAAAAATGGCTGCTGCAGAATACTGACAGTAATTGCCAGAAACTCAAGCTGGAATCAGAAGAGGATGTAGGACTAGGGATATTATTACTGACATCAGATGGAATTAACTGGATGGCACATGACAACCACAACAATAAAGATAGGTATGTTAAACATCTTGTTTAGAAGTAAATTCAAATTACAGCATAATGAAGTCATTATTGCTTATCAGAATAATTTAAAGGGCTGTACGGGGATCTCACTTATTTATGCTAAGAAAGTTGGAAGACAACTACCTGACCAACTGATTGGAAGAGATCCATAATTGTGCCCGTTTAAAAGGTTAGTGATCCAACAGAGTTCAGAAACCAACGGTGAATACCATTGATATCACATGCAAGTAAAATTTTGCTAATGATAATTCAAAAACAGCTGTAACAGTACATAGACAGGGAACTGTCAGAGTTTTGACCATGGATTCAAACATGATGTGAAATGGGGATAGCTATAATTGCTGGCATCAGATGGATCTTGGCTGAAAGCAGAAAATACCATAAAGATATTGACCTGTGCTTTATTGATAATACAAAGGTTTCTGACTATGTGGATCATGACGAGCTAAAGATAACATTGCAAAGAATGAGTATCCCAGATCACTTACTTGTGCTCATGGGGAACATGAATGGTTGTCAGGGAACACTGAATGGTTAAAAATCAAGAAAGGTGTGTGACCAAATTTATTCAATCTGTATTCTGAGCAAATAATCTGAGAAAATGGATTATATGAAGAACATGGCATCAGGATTGGAGGAAGACTCACTAACAACATGCAATGTGCAGATGATACTGATTTGCTTGCTGAAAGCAAAGAGAATTTAAAATACATAACTGATGAAAATCAAAGAGCATACCCTTCAGTATGGGTTGCACCTCTATGTAAAAAAAACAACAACAAAAATCTTCACAGATGGGCCAATAAATAACATCATGATAAATGGGGAAAGATTGAAGTTATCAAAGACTTCATTTTGTTTGGATACTCTATCAACATTCATGGAAGCAGCAGTCAAGAAATCAAATGGCATATGACACTAGGCAAATTTACTGCACAAGACCATTAAAGTACTCCAGAGTAAAAGATGTCAGTTTGAGGAGTAAGGTGTGCCTGGCCTAATCCATGATATTTTCAGTCGCTTCATAAACATGTGAAAGTTGAACAATGATAAGGAAAACCAGAGAAAAATTAATGCATTTGAGTTATGGTTTGGGAGGAGAATGTTGAGAGAATCTGTTGCAACAAGCACAGACAGAATGTTCATTAGAAGCCAGCATAGAGAGATTTGGTCTCTGATACTGTAAACATTTCATCAGAAGTGTGGTCCTTGCAGAAGGACATCATGCTTGGTAAAGTAAAGGTTCAGCAAAAAATAGGAAGACACACCCCCAACCCCCACCCCGCAACGAGATGCATTGGCACAGTGGCAGCAGTAATGGGCTCAAGTGTAACAATGAATGAGCAGTGGACGCAGGACCAGGCGGTGTTTTGTTCTATTGCCCACAGAGTTGCTGGAGTCGAAATCGACTTGGCAATACCTAAAAAAAAAATTGTATATTAAAAAAACTTGAATAAATAACATAAAAATGGTGAATTTATTTTATGTAAATTATCCTGAATTTTTTAAGCCACACACAAAAAAATAATAGTTCATGCTGGTGTGGTGATATCAAAACAGTCATATTTATAATCTAAAGAGAAAGTTTTCAAAATGAATAAAAGGCTTAAATTTTCACGGTTTTTTTGTTTTGTTTTGTTTCCTGCCTTAGGTTTATCTGTAAAAATAGGACAGGAGGACACCAGCTCCACGTAGATTGCACCTCAGAGGGTCACATCAGTCCCTCTGTCCTCAGATGAACAATTCTACTCTATATTTGAGGGGGACCTAGCCACCTTTATGAGCCTGACCTGGAGCCAGAACTTGAGTTGAGGCCTTGGCTGGAGGTTGAATTAAGGCCTTGCCTGGAGCGTCAGCCTTACTTTGAGTTTGGCCATGGCATTTGGCTGGCAGAGCCTCAGACCTTTGGCAATGCGTGCCCGTGCACACTTCCCCAGCATCAGATAGGCATTGTAGGACAGTCAACTGAGCTTGGGGTTAATGCCCTTTGGGATCTTAGACTTTACTTCCCTGGTCTTTATGAGAGCCTTGATAGCCTTGGTACGTGCCTTGGTGTTGTTGGCCTTCATCTTCTTCTGGCCTTTCTTGTTGTACTTCTTGGAAAAGCACATGTTCCTCAGTAATTTAGGGTCTGCCCCCTTAAAGAGTTTCTTACTCTGTGCTCTGAGTCATCATCTTTGGGCATTCATGTGGTGACTGATTCTCCCACAGAGCACTCAAAAAGCATCAGCAAACAGGTGTGAGGTGGGGTGCAGGGAAGCTTTTGTAAAAAGCTTTTTATAATGAGTAACCACAAAACCAGAGATAACCTTTAGATCGCTGAACCCGCCTCCACCGTCTTCCACTCCTGGGGACTAAAAGCAAGACAGGAGGAAGCCCCAGCAACTCTGACCTGTACAATCAGCCTGGGAAGATGCAGATCCTCCTGCTCCTCTTAGCTTGCGTTCTGGTACCAAGGACAGAGACAGGTGAGTGACTGACCCACCCTCCAGGCCTCACCCCATGCCACAAGAAGCAGTGATCTCCTTCTGCACATTCCAGGCCCACATAGCTACTAGGAAGTTTCCAAATACCTCCAGTCCCACCCCAGGCCCCCACTATAAGTCTCGATACACTAACTATGCGTAGAGCAGGAACATCTGGTCTTAAGAGAAATCAGGAGTACTGCTCCTTCCCATGCAATTTTTATCTAGGATCGACATGCAATTTTTATCTAGAAAGTGAAACTTTTCTACAAGTGCAAGGCCATGAGTAGGGAACAAGAAAGGAGAAAAACACAAATGTCCCTGAAGGGTAAAGAGAGTCTGGCTTCTGTGTCTGGGTTGAGACAAATCCTTTCATTCACCCATCTGCCTGGAAGTGAAGCTCAGAGCTCAGTGGACTCTGGGACTGATGGAACCACTGTCTTTTTAATAATATTTACCTTTACTTTGCCCCAATATCCCTCAGTCCATTTCTCCAGTGCTGCATACTGCTTCTCATGCCTCAGCATCTTTTGAAGCATAGCTCCCTATCTCTTGCAAACCCAAAGTTCTCTGCTTTCCAGAATCCCACAACCTCAGCAACCCTCATCCAGTAATTGGTAGTTATTCCTTCACTCAGCCAATCCATCTTCAGGCAGCCAGTGAGCATTTCCTGTCAGGCTGTAGGAAATCAGGATATAATACCATTTAGATCCTTAAACATATGTCCTGGCCATTTGAAAGCAGTCTCATCCCAGATATCACAGGACTCTAAGGGGTCTTAGAAATTCATTTCAAACCAAGAGAAATAAAGAGGGGAATTCTCTGGAGCCTCTGGGACATGGTGGTCCCTTAGACAGCTATGCTCACCTCCAACCATGTGCAAAAGAGAGATGACAGACAAAAAACTGTTTTTCTCTTGCTCAGAGGAAACTAAGGCCTCTAACTCCAGCAACCCCACCTCTGACCATCCCATGCTTGTAAATGCATAGGAATTCTGTAGCTGTCAAGCAGATGCTTGCTGTGGTACACACAGCAGACCAGAGTTCTCCTTCAGGGGAGATCATCAGGGGACATAAGGTCAAGCCCCACTCTCGTCCCTACATGGCATATATTCGGTTCTCAAAACAAAAGGAAGAAGCATGCAGTGGTTTCCTGATCAAAGAAGACTTTGTACTGACGGCTGCTCGCTGTCTGGGAAGGTGAGGAGTAGCACAGAGCCTACACTCCCCTGGGAAGCCGGACCTTCTTCAAGGACTCCTCATAGCACAGACTGAAAGAGAGGGCAGCTAATTGTGTGGGGAGAGGAACAGGGTCTGTGCCAGAGAGATAGCTGAAGATAGAATCTTGACTGGACAACTGTGCCATAGTTAGAGCTGAAAGCATGGATTTGGGAGTTGCAAGTTTTCTTGAGTGGGTAACTGATCCCTGAGAAACACTGGGGAAGTTGCCAATGGCTCCAGCATCCCTCGTGGGCTACAAGTAGCAGAAAATATAGTGAGCTCAGTCCCAAGCCCTCCTGCCTCCTGCCCCCTCCATTTCCATCAGGTACATGCCTGTCCTGCCCTAGCTATCATCTGCTCACCCCACATTCTGGGCTACAGCTCCTCTGTCTCTCCCCACCCCATCTTACTCTCTGTACAGCTTCATGAATGTCACCCTGGGCGCCCATGACATCAGACAAAAGGAAGAGACACAGCAGCGCATTCGTGTGAAAAAACCCATCCCCCACCCAGACTATGATAACAAGACACATGTAAATGACATCATGCTACTACAGGTGAGGCATAACACCATGAGGTGCCTTTCTTCCCAGGGTCCAGGGAGTTTCTCCTCCCACCATGATGCCTGTCCTTTTCATCTTTCCACACTGGCTGCCTGACTAGTTGCAGAGCCTTGGATGAGCAGGAATACAGTGCAGTCAGTCTGGGTCTGTAGACTCAGCAGGCTGTTGCTGACCTGGACTTCCTTGTCTCTCCCTATCAGTTGGAGAAAAGGGCTGAATTGACCAAAGCTGTATGCATGCTCCAGCTACCTAAGACAAAGATCCCGGTAGCATCAGGGAAGACATGCAGTGTGGTCAGCTGGGAAAAGTTCTCTTGGCGCCGTTCAACATCAAAACTGCATGAGGTGATAATGACTGTACAGAAAGACCAGCAGTGTGAGACTGACTTCCCTGGCTGCTACAAGCGCGCCTCTGAGATATGTGTGGGATACCCAAAGAAAAAGGATTCTTCCTTTCAGGTGAGATGAAGCATCTATCTATCCTGGTTCTAGGGAGTAGAATGTTTTAGGAAGACCTGGGACCTGGAAACCCAATCAGTGAGAGGACTCCTTCACCCACTAGGTTGTGGCCTTTTTCTCTTTGGAAGAGAAGAGGGGAGCAGCCTCACTGAGAACTCGCTGGGGTTTCTGCTGGTCTCCCAACAGTGACTATGAAAAAAATCCTCTTCCAAAAGGAAGAATTTGCAACTCTGTGCCCCATTCCAAAGGTTCTTAGATGGTGCAAACTGTTTGGACTAAGCACCTAACCTAGAGGATAGAGTGCAAGCCCACTCCAAGAGGTCTTTTAAGAAAACCCTGTGGAGCACTTCTACTCATGGATTTCCATGAGTCCAAATCAACTTGGCAGCAACTTTGTTCTGTTGGGGGTTTTTCTGTTTGATTGTTTGTTTGGGGGGGGTGGGGAGGGAAGCTTGCCTTGCCCCAAGGTACACATACTAGAAAATAGCTCTCCCTCCATATAAAGTAGTAAAAAACAGGCAGTAACTCAAGAAACTTTGTTTAATGAACTGTCCTCTATGCTGGATTTAGTTGCACTCACCTGCCTCTGTTTACTGAAGTTGAGAACCAAAGATCCCTTTATAGGGAATGGATCCTGAACACAGGAGCAGAAGGTAGGCCACAGCCTGTGGTGAGGTGAATCAAAAAAATATATATATATATATCTAGGCTCAGAGTTTGGCAGCTGAGAATGCCCAGAGGCCTACAGACCCTATTTTTTTCACACCATACACGGTGGCCTTCTCCTGGAGTGTGAAACTTGACAGGGCAGCAGAAACAGGAGGAGAACCAGCTCAGTCCTTCCCCTCTCTGTTCACAGGGAGACTTTGGAGGCCCTCTCGTGTGTGACAAGGTGGCTCAGGGCATTGTCTCCTATAAAAGGAATAATGGAACTTCTCCACTGATCTTCACCAGAATCTCCTATTTCTTGCCATGGATAAAGAATACCATAAACAGCCTCCAAATGAAGAAATCAGACTGAGTCCCTCTGTGACTGATCTTTTCTGGAGGTCCAGCATCTTAATAAATGTGTCCTGGCTGAGAGAAAAGGCTTGCCGTCTTATTTATTCATTGCTTTCTTTCAATTTCACCAACTCTGAGCTAAGTAGGACAAGAACATAATTCTGCTCTGTGTCCTGCTTTGCCTTTTCTTCCCACCACCTCTCCAAGACTTCATGCCAAGTAGTCATGCACCTCTTTCGTACTCATTCCTGTATCTCCATGGCCTGCTCTTCTCCAGAGCTGAGGTTGAAGACCCTCAAGAGGAAACACAAACCTCTCTGGTCCTGTGCTTGGATCACCTTCTTACTTTCTTCCCCTGTGTTAAATGGAAGACAGGAAGGAGATCCCCAATGGGTTCTGGAGGCCAAGCAGGCATGCCATGGATATCAGGAAAGAGCAAGATCAGGACATTTCCCTCCTATAGCCAATGAATATGGGAATTTTGGAGAGAGGGGTCTTGGAAAAGTTCTTCATTCTCTACTGGGCTTAGTCTCCTACCTGCCCATTTCTGTCCTGCTCTGAACTTAGGACCCAGCCCAGCCTATAGTCACCTAGCCACTTTTTCTCCTCTATTCCCATGTGTGTGGTGCTGTGGGTTAATGCATCACACTTCAAAGTTGTTTGAACTGCAAGATTGGCAGTTCAAGCTCACCAGCTGCTCCTCAGAAATCCTATACAGGGTTGCTATGGGTCAGAACCAACTCAATGACACTTAACAACAGCAATAACAATTCCCACTTACCATTGAGACATCTCATAGTCCACAAACTCCTGTTCCCTTCAGACCACACTGATCTGAATTGGACACACACACTCCCATCGTGCCACCAAGGACATCCAGAGCCCTGTGTGGATTCCAGTAAGAACACACCACTGGGATGCCAATTCAGTCCATGCTCTGACAAAAAAGAACCTCAGAGGGACTAGTGCAAGGCAGGATCCTAGGAGAGTAGAATTGGCAGGGTCACTCTCCAGGACCCTTGGTCCCAACACTCACCTAGACAGGATCAATCAACCCCCATTCAACTCAACATTCAGCTCAGTGCCCGCCATAAGTTCAAGGTCCACTGTCTACCAGGTAGCCTGAGTCTCTTACTGTTTGTCCCTCTTGGTCATGGCTGGCCTCTAGGCTAATCTCCCTGGCTAAAAGCACAGATATTATCAGAATTTGGAATTAGAAAGGACTCCTCTCTGCAGTAGGAAAGGAAAGCACAATTGTTAGCACCAATCAACCAACAAATACAGCTAAAATGCTTACTAAGTGGCAAGCATTAAAATGAATGTTACAAGTCTATCATCTGCACCCAAATGAAACTGTGTTGAGTATTTTCACTGAAATTGTCTAATGTCTCTCTCTTCCACCAGATGAGTCCATATGCCCTAATTCTATGTGGGAAAGACATAGGAATAGAAATATTTGCATTTTATTTTTCACTGCTGGTTACAATTTGCATGAATGATCATATGTGACCCAAGAACAACAGTCTGTGGATTTGGAAATGACTGTGGTTTCTAGATATGAAGTTTTCAAATCCATTCACTTAAGCAACTTCACGTGGAAGAGATGGTAGGCATGAACATAATTGTACAGACTCAATTCACATATTTGCTTGAATATATTAAAGTCTGGCTTTAAACACCTTTTCTGTTGAACTGATCAGGAACATAATTCCAGTCATTACTGCGAGTTCTTACCTGTGCAGAGTCAAACTCGAATCAGAGGTGCATGTGGTCTGGGAAAATGGAGAATGCCTCTAATCTAGAACCACCATGGCTCCTGATATGTCCAGTTTCTAGAAACACCTTGGCGCCTCAACATTGTTCTTATCTTAGGGGTTGTACATACAGTTCTATGACTTTTGCTAAAAGCAGGCTCCGTGTTCTATGTTCCATGTGCTAGGTGCACCCAGTAGACAACCCCTCTGAGCTCTTGCCATCAATATGGGACACTGCCTGGGAGTTGAACATAAGTGCCATCCCTGCTATAATGTCTCCCTGCTCATTTGAGACATGCAGTAATTCTTTTCCTCTGGCATCATGCAACCCTAAAAGATATGCCTTCTCACACCGTGTCCACAAACCACACTGCAATACAATTTCTTAACGACCTTGGGCACTTTTACAAGGAAAGAGCAGTGCATGTCACAGAGCTTCTGATTAGGGGATGGAAAAATATTCCTGCATTTCAGGTTTAACAGGGACCAGGTTCCTTAATAGGAAAAGACAACCACAAAAGGAGGAAAATGCAGAAAGCAAAACAAACTATAATATTTAGACATGTCACATACTCACATTTATATTCAATGTAAGTGTTCTATTTACCAGAAGAAATGGTTCTCTGGTTTAAAACAAATTTGAAAACCATTGTTATACACCCACATTTTCTTTTGAGAGTTCAAGAAACAAAGGTCCAATCAATTGTACCACAGACATTAAAATAAAACCAAGTCCCCTGATCACCAGACCAGAAGGAAATCATAAATGTCTTCTTCTCACACCCACCCTGTGATCAGTTCCTGACATTTCTGGTTAAGAGAGAATCTGTGGTCCAGATATCTTCCTGGAGAGACCCACAAGCAGAGTCAGGTCCCAGGACTGACAGGAAGGACTGCTAAGTTGGCTCTTGGAGAAGATAGACTTAGATGTATGACAAGGGCTTCCTAATTTTCTATGGGAAACATTTGTTGGTGTGAATCGGTCTTCTCTGCTCACCACCATTCTTTTTTTTTTAATTTTGACTGAATTATTTTCTTTGTCTCCTGTCTCACTATCTAAATATCTGAAGACTGAGCTTAAAAAACAAACAAAAATTCCTACTTTAGAGAAACATATATAAATGCATAAAATAAAAGTTCTTATAATCTATTTTTTATTGTTGTTAAATGTTCTCTAGTCGGTTCTGACACATAACAATCCTGTTTAGGGTTTTTAAGGCAGTAAATCATTGCAGGAACAGAAAGCCTCATCTTTCTTCTGCAGATTAGCTGGTGAGCTCAAACCACCAAGCCTGTGGTTCGCAGTTTACTGCTTATCTTACAGATCCACTGTGCTCCCAATAATCTATTTTAAGAAATATAAAAAGCACAATTTTAAAAATAAGCAAATCACTTTTATTCTCCTAGACACAGATTTTTCTTCTTTTTTATTTCTTTACCTCCCTACACTGTTGAAAGTATTAACTCTACTCTTTTCAAGAAGCACAAAAGAGAACATTTTCACACTTCTTTATTATGATTCTATCATGTGGTTTTTCACAGTTCAGTTCTAAAGAAACATCCCTCATTTTGTGAATTGAGTAAAGGTTTACAGAGCAGATCACCAGTTTTACATTCAACCAATCATGCCCTTCATTTCATTTCAATAGGTAGCATTCCCCACCATGAAATGACTCCTGAACTAAATGAGAACTGAAAGAATCTGGGAGCTATGGAGATGAAATGCTTTGGGGAAGGGAAGGAAATTGTGTTGGTGGGAAATATTCCTGGGAACATAAATATCCCTAGACTGGGGGAAGGGGCAGGGTGCTCTCGAAGGTCATATCAAAGGTATGCAACCTCCACATATCACTCACCTCCAACCTTCCCCCACCCAGAAACGTAGTCAACATCAGTTTGTCTTTTTTGAGTCTGTTGGTGCACGGTGTCCTGGTTTTGAAAGGAGGGGTGCACTGTTCTCATTCAAGTCCATTTCATCTCTATCATCCTCTCTAGTTCTTCTTTACCCATCACCTCAGACATTTCCTCACTCCTGGAAGTTACTGAGTTATCTGCAATCCAGACCTTGTTCTCCCACATACTTTTTATTATCGGTGATTTAGGAACACAAGAAGAAATTAAAGAGTTTTCTAACATATACAAAAACTCTACAAAGTTCAAAAATATGTATCTGTTCTAGAGACATCTTTCTTTTCCAATTCTTCCCCTCTATCCACCCTTGCCACTACAGAGACAAAATGAGAGTGCTGCCCTACCCTCTCAATATAAAACTTGCATCTTCTTCACTAACAAGACTCTCCTTAAAAAATGGTTTTTGTTGGAATGTAAAAACCAGAAGAAATTCAAATTATTACCCCAGCCTAATAGGAATGCAGAGACAATAGCATCAAAGATGAGTCTAATGGAGAAATGAAGTCAGCTAAGACCAAATTATGGTACCTTAAAACTACAGATTCTGATTTTGTCACAATTTAAGAGAATATTCATGTTCATGGAAATTAAGTTAGAAGAGCAGACTCAGATGTAATGTATGAATACAGAAAGCTCAAGTCCTTGTGGTACTGCCATCACTATTATGAATAATTACATAGAATGTCCCTGCCCACTCCAATAGGAACTAGATGGAGTTCAGTAAGAAGCTAATGTTCAAGGGGATTGCCTGCCTCTCATGGGTCAGGTGTGACAATCTCCTATATGCTGCAGAAGGGCATCAAAAGAACAAGGAATAAAAGTAAAGAAAGTGTATGATCTGAGTGAGCATTTCCATCATGTTATGTTAACCTCTGAGACACTTTGTTCTTCTAAGAGAACCAGAGTCACATATCAGGCATACAGACAAAACTTATTTTTCAGCATTTCCTTAATTTTCCCCCTAGATTCCATGAATTACATAGGAAATAGAGACATTTGTACTGTCATTGATAAGAGTACGAAGTCTGGAATCAGACCCCTGCAATTGAATCCCTCCTCCATCTCCAGCTTTGAGCTGCTGAGTGATGTTGGAACAGCTCCATGACTTTCTAATGCCAAGGGCTCAAGGTACATGTGAGGGCAAGTCTCCCGCTAACCTTTGGAAACTCAAGGGTCTTGCTCCTTTTCATAAATTACCAGCACTTGAAAAACTGGGTTCATGCCAATCTGGGGTCAAAAAAGGTAAGTTTATAGAAATGAGAAAATAGTAGTACTTAACTTAAAGAATTACATGGTGGTGGTGGTGGTTGTGTGCCTTTGAGTCAGTTCCATCTCATAGCAACCCTGTGTAGAGATTCTGAGGTTATACATCTTTACTAGAACAGAAAGCCTCCTCTTTCTACATGGAGCAGCTGGTAAATTCGAACTGTAGGAAAATTAGATATTCACAATGCGCTTTAGGCTAACAAGAGCAACAAAATTTATAATGAGCTTTGATTTCCAACAATGGGTGATGGATTAAGTAATTTGTGTTTGCATTTAAAATTTCACAATTCTAATAATAATAGCAATTATTACAATGTTGCTGTATATGAATATGCCCTGACTGGGAAGAATGTATACGCAATTGTTAAGTATGAAAAATTTCAGAGCCTTATGCTTAGCATAAGGACTTCTGGTAACAGAGTGGTTATGAGTCAGGCTGCTAACCTCAAGGTCCACAGTTCAAACTACCAGCCGTTCTACACAAGATAGATGAGGCTTTCTGCTCACATGAAGATTTACGCAACCACCACCACCACAAGCATGCTTAGTACAATCCCTTTTCAATTTAAAATCTGAGTCTCATATGTTTCCTGCTGTTGACAGGGTTTTGTCTTACCACTTTTGTATTGCTGTTGGTGGAAAATATTTGAGTTTTGCTTTTCTGACAGGTTTCTGCCTTATACAGATTCTAGCTTTCATAGGTTTTACTGTATTCATTCGGAAGGCCAAGTTATTATAATAAATCATATTTCAAAGCATTAAAGATAATTATCAAAAGTGATATGAAATCAAGTAATTTAAATTGTTTTCTGTTTAGGTTTTCAAATTTCCAATAATTGTGCAAATTACTTGCATGTTAAATTTCTTGTAAGTTGAAAAGAGACACAGTGATATTAACTAATAGATTCTAAAAGCATGGGGAAAATCCTTAAGTTACAAAGTTAAATGAGAATAAAAGGGCATTGCTTTCCATAGACTTCTTTTGTGACCATATGATATATATATATATATATACCCATTTATATGGGTAGATAAATGATGTTTTTCCCTTCTACTTTTACAGGTTTTCTTAATGTACATATATTACCACTATAATCCGAATTTTTTAAAAAAACTGTCATTGAGTTGATTCTTACTCAAAGAGACCCTATAATAAACCCCTGAAATATGATTTATTATAATAAAAGATAGAGTAGAATGCTTTATAGAGTTTCTAAGAGTTTAAATTTTTATAGGAGCTCATCATTCCAACTCAGGGTGGCCGATGGGTTTCAGCTGCTGACCATGTGACTAGACACCTAATTCTTAAAAAATCCTTATAATCAGAAAAGTATTTTATTTTTGAAATGTCCACTACTGGAAAAATTAAGTACTAAAAAGGTTTATAATAGATATGGGAGGAAGCTTAGACTGAAATTATGTATTTTGATATATATATTCCTGAAAGAAAATTTTCCAAATATAAAAATTAAAACTTAAATCAATAAAGTGGAGCTATGAATATTTGTTCTTTTAACAGAATCAGATTTGGGCTGTTTTGCAACAGCAATCCTTCAGCTCCATTGTAGTGAGGTAATGAGGATAGTTTAGCAAATATTTTCTATGGGCCTTTTTATTTTAATTTTTTTCAAAGTTTTTATTGTGAATTGAGTAAAAGTTTACAGGGCAGATCATCAGTTTTACATTCAACAAATCATCTACTTTGTTTCATTACAATGATTATAATCCCCACCATGTACCATCAGTTAACAACAGTATTTCTTTCTATTCATTTTAGCTTTTTTTTTTTTAAACACTCAGGTATCAGGCATACATAATAATTTACACCACCAAAGGGCACATTATACAAGTCTGCCTCCTGGCTGCCAGCTCTCAGTCCCTCTTTTTCCATGAATCTAGAGTCCTCAGCTGCTTCCTCGCTCCATGTCCCCATCTCTGCCTCCATCTCTGGTGTTGCTGCTTCTCTGGATAAGAGCATTCCACATGTGCTCTTCTCCCTTGATGGTCCTAGGGTCCTCTGTTTCTGTACTGTTTCCATGGACCTTTAATAAACTTGTTTTTATGTCATCAAGCCAAGTTCGACTCATGGGGATCTCATGTGTTAAAAACTAATGTAACAGCGAGGTCTATTACATCAGAAGTGTGGATCTCTGGACAGATGGCAGAGAATAGTAAAAGAGCAACCACTGGTACACAGTTGCCAGGAGCACTTTCACGCTTCTCATGGTACCAGGAATTTACCACATTGACCTTCCCTGGGGGCAGCAGCCCTTTCTCACTTTGAGTTCATGGACTTGGGTGTTATCCACATCAGCCTATCCAAAGTCTCAAGTCAATCAGTGGATTCAGCTTCTTGGATCACAGTTATTCCTTAACCTAGGTGAATAAAGTCAAGGACAAGATTTTGTTAAAAACATTGCAAAAGGTGATCTCCTTCGCTCTGTGCATTTGTATGTAGATAAAGAATGCTAAAAAGTCAGTTAGGAAAGGAGCTGTGTGGGTTTACGATCTAGCCCTGCTTCCTTGCTGCCTCATGTGTCCGTCTGCTATAACCCTCACCATACTTTGCTCTGGTCACTGATGGTTCTATCTCTTCCTTCAGACATTTAGCTCCCTAAGGAAAGGAGACACATCTCCAATACGCTCGGTCCTGGCACCAAAAAGGGCCTAAATACACATCAGCAAAGACAATTACCCTGAAGGACTCAGCAACGTTGAAATGAAACCATTGGTGGTTTTATCACTAGGGACACTGGCTTCGAGACTCTAGTAATTTTCCTGGGTAATGCTACAACCTACAGTCCCCATATCCTACCCTCAGTCACAGCTGTGGTATTCATGTGGTGACTGCTTGATTCTCCCACAAAGCACCCAAAAAGTATTAACAGGCTAGGGTTGTGTTAGGTGCAAAGCAGCTTTTGTAGAAAGCCTTTTCAAATGAATGACCACAAAACCAGAGGGAACCATGAGATCACTGAGCCCACCTCCACCCTCTTCCACTCCTGGGGGCTAAAAGAAGCCAGGAGGAAGCCCCAGCAACTCTGACCAAGACAATCGGCCTGCGAAGATGCAGCTCCTCTTGCTCCTCTTAGCCTGCATTCTGGTTCCTAAGGCAGAGACAGGTGAGTGACTGACCCCACCCTCCAGGCCCCACCTCATGCCACAGCAGGCACTGATCCTCTCCTTCTGCATATTCCTGAGCCATCTAGCTACTAGGAAAGTTCTTAGTACCTCCAGCCCCAGCCCAGGCCCTCAGTATAAGTGTGGATAAGCCATCTGCAGGTTGAGAAGGAACATTTGTTCTTAAGAGGAGTCAGGGGTACTACTCCTTCCCCAGGATCAGCATGTAATTTTTTTCTGAAAAGTGGAACTTTTCTAGAAGTTCAAGGCCATGAGCAGGGAACAAGAAAGGAGAAAAACTCAAATGTCTCTGCACAGGGTAAAGTAAGCCTGGTTTATCAGTCTCAGTTAGGACAAGGCCTCCTTTCATTCACTGTCTGCCTGGAAGAGAAGCACAGAGCTCAGCTGACCCTGGGGCTGATGGAACCACTGTCCCTTCAACACTGTTTACCTTTGCTTTGTCCCAAGACCCTTCAGTCCATTTCTCCAATGCTGTATTTGCTTCTCCTACCTCAGCATCTTCCTTCTTTTCAAACACAGGTCTCTTATCTCTTACAGACTCAAACTTCTCTGCTTTCCAGACTCACGCTACCCCAGCAACCCTCATTCAGTAATTGGTAGTTATTCCTTCAGGCAGCCAGAGAACATTTCCTGGGCACCCACTCTGTCAGGCTGTAGCTAATGAAATCCAATACCATTTAGATCCCTAAACCTATGTCCTGGCCATTTGAAAGCAGTCCCATCCCAGGTATCACAGGACTCGGAGAGGTCTTAGAAATTCATTTCAAACCAAGAGAGATAAAGAGGGAAATTTTCTGGAGTCTCAGGATCCTTGTGGTACCTAAGACAGCTATGCTCAGCTCCAACTATGTACAGAAGAAAGATGACAGACCCAAGACTGTTCGTCTCTTGTTCAGAGGAGGAAGTTAAGGCCTCTAACCCCAGCCACCTCACCTCAGGCCATCCCACGCTTGTGAATGCATAGTAATTCTGGAGATGGTAAGCAGATGCTTGCTGTGGTACACACAGCAAACCAGAATTCTCCTTCAGGGAAGATCATCGGGGGACAAGAGGTGAAGCCCCACTCCCGGCCCTACATGGCCTATATTCAGTACTCAAAACAGCACAAAGAGATCTGTGGTGGTTTCCTGATCAAAGAAGACTTTGTTCTGACTGCTGCTCACTGTTTTGGATGGTGAGTTGCTGCAAAGATTCTACACTCCCCTGAGAAACCTGCCTTATTCAAGGGCTCCTCATACCGCAGAGTGAGAGAGAGTGCAGCTAATTTTGTGGGGAGAGGAACAGGGTCTGTGTCAGAGAGATTACCAAAGAAGAGACTCTAGACTTACCAACCATGCCATATTTGGAGGTGGGAGCATGTATTTGGAGTCAAAATGCAAATAAACTTACAAGTTTTCTTGGGGGTAACTGATCCCTGAGAAACACTGGGGAAGTTACCAGTGACTCCAGCATCCTTCTGGGCTACAAGTAGCTGTCCTCTCTACTTACACCTGTCCTGCCCTAGCTATCATCTGCTCTCCCCCACATTGTGGGCTACAGTGCCTATACTCCCCTTCCCCCACTCGAATCTCTGTACAGCTTCATGAATGTCACCCTGGGCGCCCACAACATCAATCAGACGGAAAAGACCCAGCAGTTCATCCCTGTGAGAAGAGCCATCCGCCACCCAGCCTATAATGATACAATATTATTGAATGACATCATGCTGCTACAGGTGAGGCATGTACCTCTTGTACCTTTCATTCCAGGATCCAGGAAGTTTCTCCTCCCACATGACCTCTGTTCTTCCCATCTTTCCACCCTAGCTACCTGACTAGTGCAGTCATTCAGGTCTCTAGATTCACGAGGCTGTTTTTAACCAGTCTTCTTTTCTCTCCCTATCAGTTAGAGAAAAAAGCCAGATTGACGAAAACTGTAAGCATACTCCGGTTACCTAAAGAGAACAGCCAGGTAATGCCAGGAAAGACATGCCGTGTTGCCGGCTGGGGCAAGCGCTCGCTGAATGACAGACCATCACCAACACTGTATGAAGTAAACCTGACTGTACAGAAGGATCAGATGTGTGAGTCCCGCTACCCCAAATACTACAATAACACCTCTGAGATATGTGTGGGAGACCCGAAGAAAACGGCTTCTTCCTTTCAGGTGAGATGTAGCATCTATCTAGCCTACCTCTAGTGAGAAGGATGTGAGAAACCCAATCAATGAGGGAACTCCTTCACCCACTAGCTTGTGACCTTTTTCCCTTGGGAAGAGAAGAGGGGAACAGCCTCACTGAGGAGTCACTAGGGTTTCTGTTAGCCTTCCAATGGTGACTCTGAAAGAGGCCCTCTTCCAAAAAGAATTGGCAACTCTCTGCTCAGTTCTGTTTGTGTTCAACTACTAACCTAAAGTTGGTGCTTCCAGCCCACTCAGAGGTGTCCTGTAAACAAAACCCTGTGGAGCAGTTCTACTCTGTAACACAGGGGATTGCCTGAGGCTAAATCAACGTGACAGAACTTTTGTTTATTTGTTTTCGGGGGAATCTTGCCCCACCCCAGGACACACATACCAGAAAATATCTCCCCCTCCATAGGAAGTAATCAAAAACAGGCAGCAACTCAAGAGCTGGCAGTCACATTGGTTAGTGGACTGTCCTCTATGCTGGATTTAGTTACGCTGGACTGCCTTTGTTCACTTAAGCAGTTGTTGTTAAGTGCCGTAGAGTCGATTCTGACACATAGCAACCCTGTATAAGGTTTCCCAGGAGCAGCTGGTGAGCTAGAACCACTGACCTTGCAGTTCAAATGACTTTGCAGTCTGAGGCATTAGCCCACAGTGCCACACCAGTGTCCCACAGTCCTTTACAGTTCTGGACCTACAGGGAGGAGGTAGACCAGAAGCTGGGGTGAGTTAAATCAACAACAATGTCTTGGATGAAGGTTTAGCAGCTGAGAATGCCCAGAGGTCTATAGACCATCTTTGTTCACACCATACACGGTGGCCTTCTCCTGGAGTGTGAAACTTGACAGGGCAGCAGAACCACGAGGAGAACCAGCTCAGTCCTTCCCCTCTCTGTTCACAGGGAGACTCTGGAGGCCCGCTCGTGTGTGACAACGTGGCTCAGGGCATTGTCTCCTATGGAAACGATAATGGGACTCCTCCACGGGTCTTCACCAAAATCTCGCATTTCCTGAAATGGATAAAGAAGACCATAAAGAGCCTCCAAATGAAGAAATCATACTGAGCCCCTCTATGTTTGATCATCTTCTCAGGAGGTCCAACACCTTAATACATGTGTACTCGTTGAAAGAAAAAGCTTGCTGCCTTGTTTATTTATTGACTTTCTTTCAAGTTCACCAACTCTGAACATATTTCTACTCTGTTCTGCTTTCTTTTACCTCCCCACCACATCCCAAAACCCCATGCAAAGTATTCACATATCTCCTTCTCACTCATTCATGTTATCTCTATGGCCTGCTCTTCTTCTGAATCAAGGCTGAACACCCTCAAGAGGAAACACAAACCTCTCTGGTCCTGGGTTTGGGTGAACTTCTTACTTCCTTGTGGATGAAGTGGATGACTGATGCATTCTGGAGGCCAAGTAGGCATACCATGAGCCTTAGGGACAAGCAAGAGTGGGAGATTTTCCACCTACAGCCAAGGAAGCTAGCAATTTTGGAGGTACTGGTCCATGAGGAGTTCTTCATTCTCTCCTGGGGTTTGTTTCCTTCCTGCCCATCCCTGCCCTGCTCTGAAATTAGGACCCAGCCCAGCCTCCAGTCTCCTAGCCACTTTTTCTCCTTTATACCAACTTGCCATTGAGACTTCTCAGAGTCCACCAACTCCTGTCCCCTCCAAATCACACTGATATGAATTGGACTGCTCCTCCTTCTTGCCAATAAGAATATCCAGAACCCTGTTAGATGCAGGGTCTCACTTTGGGGTGCCAATTCAGTCCATGCTCTGGCAGAGAAGATCTTCAGAGGAGCTACTTTTAGGCAGAGTCTTAGGAGAGCAGAACTGGTAAGGTCACTCTCAAGAACCCTTGGTCCCAACACTCACCTAAACAAGCCCCGTTCAACTCCACATCCAACTCAGTGCCCCCATAAGGTCAAGGTACACTGCCAACCAGGTAGCCTGAGTCTCTTACTGTTTGTCCCTATTAGTCGCTGTTGGCCTCTAGGATAATCTCCCTGGCTAATAGCAGGGATTACATCAGCCTTCAGAATTAGAAAGGAATCCTCTCTGCAGTAGGAAAGGAAAGCACAATTTTTGCCACCAGTCAACCAAAGAATACACCTTAACACCTATTAAGTAGCAGACATTGAAGTGAATGTAACAAGTCTATCATCTACCCCCAAATGAAACTGTGTTGAGCATGTTCAGTGAAATTGTCTAATGTTCTCCCTTCTACCAGTTGAGTTCATATGGCCTTGCACTATGTGGGAAAGATAGAAGAATAAAAATATTTGCATTTTATTTTTCACTGCTGGTTACAGTTTGGATGAAAAATCATATGTGCCCCAAGAACAACAATCTATGGCTTTGGAAATAACTGTGGTTCCTACATATGAAGCTTTCAAACTGTGTTCACTAAAGCGGCTTCACTGGAACAAACATTCATATATTTGCCTGAACACATTAGAGTCTGGTTTTAAACACACATTCTGTTGGACGGATCAGGAACATTATTCCAGTTATTACTGCAAGTTCTTGCCTGTGTAGAATCAATCTAGAATCAGAGGTCCAAGTGGTGTGGAAAAATGGAGAATGCCTCTAAGCTTAGGCCATCATGGCTTCTGATATGTCCAAAGTTTCTAAACACCTTGACTCCGCCTCATTGAAAGTTCTCACTTTAAGGGCCATGCATACAGTATGTGATTTTTGCTGAATATGGGCTCCATGTTCCAGGTAGACCCAGCAGCCATCTCCTCTGAGATCCTGTCATCAATATGGGACACTGTCTGGGAACTGAATGTAAGTCCCATCCCTGCTATAAGGCCTCCCTGCTACCAATACACACAACACTACATTCAGTCGTGACATGGAGTGATTCTCTTCCTCTGGAATTGTGCAACCTAAAATGTATGCCTTCTCACACCGTGTCCACAAAGCATTTTGCAGTACAATTTCTTAATGACTTTGGGCACTTGTACAATGAAAGAGCAGTGGATGTCACAGAGCTTCTGATTTGGGGATGGAAAAATATTCCTGTATTTCAAGTATAACAATGACCTGGTGTCTTAATTGGAAAAGACAGCAAAAAAAAGAAGAAAATTCAGAAAGCAAAACAAAATATACTATTTAGAAATGTTACTTACTCACAATTATATTCATTTTAAGTGCTATATTTATTTTGAGGATATGATTCTTACCTTTAAAATAAATTTGTAACCATTGTTACATGGCTATATTATCTTCTAAGAGACAAAGAAACAAAGTTCCAATCAAAGGTACCACAGAAGTTATGACAAATCCAGGACCCCTGATCACCAGGCCAGCAAGAAATCTTAAATGTCTTCTTCTCACACTCACCTTGTGATCAGTTCCTGGCATCCCTGGATAAGAGATGATCTTTGGCTCAGATTCCTTCCTGGAGAGAAAGCCTCTGAACTCTAAAGCCATCGTGCAGACCCACAGAGTCAGGTCCCAGGACAGACAGGAAGAACGGCTAAGTTGGCTCCTGGAGAAGACAGACTTAAATGTATGGCAAGATCGTCCTCATTTTTTTCATGGGGAGCATGTGTTGGTCCGAATCTGTCTTCCCTGCTCACCACCATTCTTTGTTTGTTTACTTGTTTTATAAGTTTGCCTGACTTATTTTCTTCCTCCCTTGTCTCATTACCTAAATATTTGAAGACTGAACATTTTTAAAAAACACACAAATTCTCACTGTAGGGAAAGATACATAAATGCATGAAATGAAAGTTCTTACAATCTGTAAGATTATATATTATAATTTATAATTTCTTTATTGCCATTAAGATCTGTGTAGTTGGTTCTGACACATAACGATTCTGCATAGGGTTTCCAAGGCTGTAAATCTTTGCACAAGCAGAAAGCCTTGTGTTTCTTCTGCAGATCAGCTGGTAGCTTGAACCACCAACCTTGTAGTTCACAGTTCAGTAATTATCCTACAGATTCATGGTGCTCCCAATAATCTATTTTAAGAAACATACAAAGCACAACTTGAAGATAAGCAAATCGTTTTTACTCTTCTAGACAGAGATTTTTCTCTTCTATTTTTTCTCTACCTGCCCACATTGTGAAAAGAATAACTCTCCTCTTATCAAGAAGCACAAAAAAGAATGCTTTTTTTTACATATTGGTCATGATTCTACCATGTGGCTTCTCGCAGTTCAGTTCAAAAGAAACATTTCTCATTTTTGTTTTTAACTTTTTTTGTAGATTGAATAAAGGTTTACAGAGCAGATCATCAGTTTTTGCATTCAACAAAACATACACTTCAATTCATTTCAGTAGATTTCAAACCACACCATGTATGAACTCCTGAACGAGATGAGAACAGAATGAATCTGGTCACTACAGAAGGTTCAAGTTTGACCTTCAGTCCCTATGGATATGAAATTCTCTCGGGAAGGGAGGGAAATGGCCTCGGTGGGAGATATTCCTGGGGAGATAGCTATCCCCAGACTGGGTTTAGGGGGAGAAGGCTCCTGAATGTGACCCCAGGTCATATCAAAGGTGACATCACAACCCAGCATATGACTCTCCTCCAACTGTCCCTCACCCAGAAAGGTAGTCAACATCAGTTTGTCATTTTTGAGTCTGTTGGTGCACAGCATCCTAGTTTAGTAAAGAGGGGTGCACTGCTCTCATTTGAATCCATTTTTCCCCTCCCTTCTACTCTAATTCTCTCTTTACTCATCACCTCAGACTTTTAGTTACCTCTGGAAGTTATTGAATTATCTCCAATCCAGACCTTGTTCTCCCCCATACTTTTTGTTATTGGTAATTTAGGAATACAACAATAATAAATTAAAGGGTTTTCTACAGTTACAAAAACTCTACAAAGTTCAATCAAAAATATATTTTCTATGACATTTTTCTATTCCATGTCCAGCCCCCTCCCCACCCTTGCCACTACAGAGTCAAAATGGAAGTGCTCCCCTCCCCTCTCCAATACATAACCTACACCTTCTTCTCTAACAAGTTTCTCCCTCAAAATGGTTTTTGATGGGATGTAAAACCCAGAGAAATTCAAACTACTACCCCAGTTTAATAGGAATGCAGACATAGCAGCAACAAAGATTAATCTACTGGACAAATGAAACCAGCTAGGACCAAATTGTGTTGTTGTTGTTGCTAAGTGCCATCAAGTGGGATCCAACTCATAGTGACCCTGAACAGGCTTTCCAAGAAGCAGCTGGTGAGCTGGAACTGCCGGCCTTAATGACCCAAACCAACCCAAATTATAGTCCCTTAAACCAACAGATTCTGATTTTGTCAATATTTACAAGAACCTTCAAGTTCATGGAAATGAAGTTAGAAGAGCAGACTCAGATGTCCTTGTGTTTCTGCCATCACTCACGTGAACACATACATAGAACATCCCTGCCCACATTGAATAGAAACCAGATGGAGTCCAGTCAGAAGCTAAGGCCCAAGGAGATTGCCTGCCCTCATGGGTCAGGCGTGACAATCTCCTATATGCTGGGGAAAGACATCAGGAGAATAAGAAATAAAAGGAAAGAAAGAGTGTGATCTGAGTGAGCATTTTCATAATGGTAGGTTAGCCTCTGAGACACTTTTTTCTTCTAAGAGAACCAGAGTCACATATTACAGATACAAACAGAAACTTATTTTTCAACACCTTAATTTTGCATAAAAAATAGGGGTATTTGTAGAATCACTAATAAGAGTACAAAGTCTGGAATCAAACCCCTGCAATTGAATCCTTGCTCAACCTCCAGCTTTGAGTTCAGTGATGGACAACACTTTTGTCTCCCTAGTGCCAAGGCTCAAAGGCACACGTGTGGTCAAGTCCGACCCTAAGCTTTGGAAACTCAAGGGTCTTGTTCCTTTTCATAAATTACCACCACTTGAAAAACTGGATCCATGCTGCTATGAGTACAAAAAAGTAAGATTATGGAAATGAGAAAGTAGTACTACTAGACAGTAAGAATTACATGCTGGTGGTGGTGGTGGTTATGTGATGCTTAATCCACCTCAACTCAGAATAGCCCTGCACGGGGATTCTGAGCCTATAAATCTTTAGCTGCCAGGGTCTGGCCTCAGCAAGGGGGTGAGGACCCGAAGATGGGGTGTCCGGCGATGATAGCGAGAGAGAGAGAGATAGAGAAAAAACAGACACAAAGAAGACAGAGAAAACAGATACAAAGAAGACAGACATACAGGCTTGATGCAAGCTGCCAGACAGACTGCTCAGTGGCTGACATTTTCCCTTCTCGGACTAACTCTAGGTGGGATGTCTGGAGAGGCGAGAGAGAAAAGAAACGCTCGGAGACCAGAGTAGATGCAAAACCGGCAGACAGCCTCTTCATATCCTGCAAGCAATAATGTCCCGCAGACTTAAGTCTGTGTCCGTCTTTTATTTCATCTCTTTCAGGGAGGGATCTTTACAGAAGAAGAATGGTATTATTCAGACAAGACAATCTTTAAGATAAGTTAAGCCAGTAAATCTTACTTAAACCAATATTCCTTTCTTCCTTACTGGGTTTAACCTTCACATGGATCAAAATATTCCTTTCTTCCTTACTGGGTTTAACCTTCACTTGGATCAAACTGATTGAACCCAGGGTGGTCCGAGGGAGTTGCCCCCATTGTCCTTAATCCCGTAATCCCAGAATTTACCACTCCTCCCCAAGTGAATATACCCCGGGCAGTTCCTCTCCAGAGCCTCCCTGCTTAACCCCAGTAAACCTGTCCTTGTTCGTCCTCTGAGGAAGTTTTACTGCCTTGATTCTAGGGGGGAAATCTTGACCTTAGAAACCTAGAGGAATATTGCATTTCTCTGTGGACATCCAGGGCTCATGTTTGGAATTAAATAAATATTACTGAACACTAAGATGAAAAACAATTTGCTATTAACTGCCAAGTGGCTAGATCTGTTACACTCGGGCCTATAGGGCCTCGAACCTCTGCACAGTCTGCAACATTTAGCAGAACAAAAGGCTTCTTCTTTCTCCCACAGAATGCTGGTGGATTCGAACTGCTGACCTTGCTGTTAGCAGCCAAATGCGGTACCCACTATGCAACCAGGACTTCTTAATAATTACATTAGTATTGTTGTTATGTGCCATTGAGTCCATTCTGACTATTAGCGAGCTTGTAAAGGGTTTCCAAAGAATAGTTGGTGGTTAGCAGTCCAGTGTTTATCTTACATTGCTACACCAGGATTCTTTATAGCAAACAGACATGGATAAATTAGTCTATTTTTATGTTTTTACAATAATAATAACAATTCTGCTTCTGAAATGCTAACTTGTGATACAACCAGAACACATATAGGAAAAAAACAAAACTTTTATGCATAAAGTTACTTACCACAGCATTATCTATAACTGTCAAAAAATGAAAACAACCTAGAAGCAAACCATAGTACATCTACACAATGGAGAATTATGCAAGAGGTTAAAGGGATTTTAGGAATTTTATAGAAAAATGGAAGTCCCTGACTAATGCAAATGGTTAACACATGTGGGTGCTAAGTACAATTTTGACAGTTGAGTCCACTCAGAGATGCCTTAGAAGAAACGCCTGGCAATCTATTTCCAAAAGATCAGCCATGTAGAAGTCCACGGAGAAGGCGGCTACTCTGACAAAAAGGCATTGTCATGAGTCAGAATTAACTCAACAGCAACCAATAACTGATATAGATAAAAACATCTAAGGAATAAAGGCATTTAAAACATATTTTCTTAAACATGGCTCAGGAAGAAAGATTCAAATTCTCATGGAATACATATTTTCTGGAGACACTGAAACTGGATGAATCCATAAAACATGGCCAAAGATTGCCCTGAGTAATCTTTAAACTTTAAACCAAACATATTTCCTGAAGTCTTTCTTAAATCAAACAATAGTTTTACTACCTTGGTAGAGCATGTGTGCCTTGAGGGCCATGCTCCTTGAAAAATCTATCTAGATAAGATCAAATTGGCATTAGTAAGATTTGATAGGAAATTTAGGGGGCCATGAGTCTATATTAATGGGAGAAGACCAATTCAGAAAGGACGAAGAGAATGACTGTGCAGCATGAAGAATGCAATCAATGTCATTGAACGCTACATGCAGAAATTATTTCATTGGTGTATGTTTGACTGTGTATTTTTTCAACAACCAAAACTAAAATAAAATATTAAAATATATATGGCTAATAAATGGCTGCAGCAGGACATTGACAGGGACTATAGCCTTCAGCATGGGTTGCACCTCAATGAAAACAAAACAAAAATCCTCACAAATGGACTAATAACTAGCATCATGATAAATAGAGAAAAGATGGAAGCTGTCAAAGACTTCATTTTGCTTGGATCCATTACCAGCACTCGTGGAAGCAGCAGTCAAGAAATCAAACAATACATGGCACTAGGCAAATTTCCTGCACAAGACCTTTAAAGTGTTCAATAGTAAAGCTGTGCCTGACCAAAGCCATGGTATTTTCAGTAGCCTCATAAGCATATGAAAGTTGGACAATGAATAAGAAAGACCATAGAAGAATTGATATTTTGAGTTGTGGTGTTGAAGGAGAATATTAAGAGCAAATAAATCTGTGCTGGAAGAAGTACAGCCAGAATGCTCCTTAGAAGCCAGGATAGTGAGATTTTTTTTTTTTTAAAGCTTTTATTGTGAATGGAAAGATAGTTTACATTGAATAACATTGGTTTTACACACATCCTATTGGATTTTGTTTCATTTCAATGATTGCAGAGCTGATGAAAGGAGATGGGGATAAGACTCTGTGGTTCAATAGTGAATAATTGCTATCAGGACTGATTGAGAGTGTTGCAAATGTAAAGGTAGATGTTTTGTAACAAAAGGAGGGAAGTGATTGATCTTGCAGTCCAGGAGCAGAGGACCCTGGGACCATCAAGGGAGAAGAGAGGAGTGTGGGACCCTATCCAGAAAAGCAGTGACACCAGAGATGGAGACAGAGATGATGACAAGGAGAGATGGAGTGGCTGAGACCCTGGAATCAGAGAGGGAGAGGGGCTGTGTGCTGAAGGCCGGAGGCCAGCTTGCGGAGCGTGCCCATTGGTTGTTTAAATGGTTGTATATTCTTAAGTGCCTCAGTGTACATTAAAAAAAAAAAAAAAAAAAAAACCAGAAGGCATGGAAGCAAATGCTGTTGAATGATAATGCATGAAGGGGATTGTAATCATTGCATCATGAAATGAAATACGATAGCATGGATGTAAAGCTGATGTTCTCCCATGTAAACTATCATCCAATTCACAATAATAAAAATAATAATAATAATAATGTAACAGCGAAGTCTATTACATCAGAAGTGTGGATCTCTGGACAGAGGATTTATACCAATAAAAGGGCAATTATTGATATACAGATGCCAGACACATTTTTCCACCTCCCACAATATCAGGTATTCACTATATTGAGCATGGCTGGGTGAACCAGCCCTCTCCCATTTTGAGTTCATGGACTTGAGTGTGATCATCGCCACCCTACACAAAGAATCAAGTAAATCAGTGGATTCAACTTCTTGAGTCATAGTGATTCCTTAACCTAGGTCAGTAAAAGTCAAGAGTAAGATTTTGTTAATAACATAGGGAGAGGTGGTCTCTTTAACTCTGTGCATTTGATTTTAAATAAAGGATGTTAAAATAAAATACCCTAGGAAAGGAGCTATGATGGTGAATGGGGTTCTTATATGTGTTTAGTATATAGCCCTCCCTCTTTACTTCCTCATGTGTCTCTTATCTATAACCCTCACCATACTGTGCTCTGGTCACTGATGGTTCTGTCTCTTATACCAAATAGTCAGCTCCCTAAGGAAAGAAGACACATTTCTAATATGTTCGGTTCTAATATGTTTGGTCCTGGCACAAAAAAAAAGGGTCTAAATATACATCTGCAAAGACAATTACCCTGATGGACTCAGTAATGTTGAAACCATTGTTGGTTCTATCATTTGGGACACTGGTTTCTGAGATGCTAGTACTTCTACTGGGGAATGTGATAATCTACACGCCCCATCTTCTACCTTCGGTCCCTGCTCTGAGTCATCAGCTGTGGGTATTCATGTGGTGACTGCTTGATTCTCCCACAAAGCACCCAAAAAGCATTAAACACTCAAGTCTGGGGTTGTATTGGGTGCAAAAGCAGCTTTTCTAGAAAGCCATTTAAGATGAATAACCACAAAACCAGAGGGGACTATGAGATCACTGAGCCCACCTCCACCATCTTCCTCACATGGGGGCTAAAAGCAAGCCAGGAGGAAGCCCCAGCAACTCTGACCTGGACAATCGGCCTGTGAAGATGCAGCTCCTCCTGCTCCTCTTAGCCTGCATTCTGGTTCCTAGGGCAGAGACAGGTGAGTGACTGACCCCCACCCTCCAGGCCCCACCTCATGCCATAGGAGGCATTGATATTCTCCTTCTGCACATTCCTGATCCATCTAGCTACTAGGAAAGTTCTTCCTACCTCCATTCCCACCTAGACTCCCAGTATAAGTGTGGATAAGCCATCTGCGGGTTGAGCAGAAACATCTATTCTTAAGAGGAGTCAGGTGTAATATTCTTTCCCCAGGATCTAAATTTTCATCTGGAAAGTGGAACTTTCCTAGAAATGCAAGGCAATGAGTAGGGAACAAGAAAGGAGAAAAACTCAAATATGTCTCTGCACAAGGTAAAGTGAACCTGGCTTCTGTGTCTGGGGTGAGACAAGTCCTCCTTTCATTCACCCGTCAGCCTGGAAGAGAAGCACACAGCTCAGCTGACCCTGGACTGATGGACCCACTGTCCCTTCAACACTGTTTATCTTTACTTTGCCCCAAGATTCCTCAGTCCATATCTCCAATGCCCCATATTTCTTCTCATGCCTCAGTATCTTTCTTCTTTTCAAGCATAGGTCTCTATCTCTTGCAGACCCCAAATTCTCTGCTATCCAGCATCCCACTACCCCAGCAACCTTCATCCCATAATTAATTGGTAGTTATTTGTTCAGGCAGCCAGTGAACATATCCAGGGCACCCACTCTGTCAGACTATAGGAAATAGGACATAAACAATTTAGATCCCTAAACATATGTCCTGGCCATTTGAGAGTAGTCCCATCACAGATATCACAGGACTCTGAGGGGTCTTAGAAATTCATTTCAAAACAAGAAATATAACGAGGGAAGTTTTCTGGACTCTCAAGGATCCCTAAACAGCTGTCCCTAAACAGCTGTATTCACCTACTACTGTATACAGAAGAAAGATGACAGACCAGATTATTCTTCCCTGGTTCAGAGGAGAAAGTTGAGGCCTCTAAGCCCAGACACCCACCCCTGGCCATCCCATGCTTGTAAATGCATAGTAATTCTGGAGCTGACAAGCAGATGCCTACTGTGGTACACACAACAAAACAGAGTTCTCCTTCAGGGGAGATCATCGGGGGACATGAGGCCCAGCCCCACTCTCGTCCCTACATGGCATATGTTCAGTTCTTGAAACAAAACAAACAGGCATGCGGTGGTTTCCTGATCCAAGAAGACTTTGTGCTGACGGCTGCTCACTGCTATGGAAGGTGAGGAGCAGCACAGAGCTCACACTCCCCTGGGAAGCCGGACCTTCTTCAAGGGCTCCTCTTATCACAGGATGAGAAAGGGGGCAGCTAATTTTGTGAGGAGATGAACAAGTCTGTGCCAGAGGGGCTGCTGAAAAAATAGAGCCTAGACTGACCAACTGTGTCATATTGAGAACTTGGAGCAAGTATTTAGGGTCAAAATGCAAACAAACTTGCAAGTTTTCTTGGAGGTAACTGATCCCTGAGAAACACTGGGGAAGTTACCAAGGACTCCAGCATCTCTCCTGGGCTGCAAGTAGCAGAGGACATAGTGAGCTCACTTCTAAGCCCTCCCGTCCCCTCCATTTACCATCAGCTACACTCTTGTTTTGCCCTAGCTATCATCTGCTTTTTCCAACTTCTGGACCACAGCTCCTGTGACTTCCCCCTTCCCCACTCCGCCCTCTCTACAGCTTCATGTCTGTCACCCTGGGTGCCCACAACATCAAACAGAAGGAAGATACCCAGCAACACATCTCTGTGAGAAGACCCATCCCCCACCCAGACTATGATGAGAGAATAAATGTCAATGACATTATGCTCCTACAGGTGAGGCACAACCCCTGCAGCTCCTTGCTCCCCTGGGCCCAGGGAGTTTCTCCTGCCAGCATGACCCCTGACCTTTCCATCTTTCCACCCTGGCTGTCTGACTAGGCGCAGGGCCTTGGACGAGTAGGATAAGGTGCAGTCAGTCAGGGTCTCTAGACTCAGCAGTTTGTTGCTGACTTGGACTTTCTTGTCTCTCCCTATCAGTTGGAGAAAAAGGCTGAATTGACCGATGCTGTAGACATACTGCAGCTACCTGAGGAGAACACCCAGGTAATTCCAGGGAAGATGTGCAGTGTGGCCGGCTGGGGCAAGATTTCATTGGGCACGTCAACAACCAAACTGCATGAGGTGTTCCTGACTGTGCAGAAAGACCAGGAGTGTAAATCCCGCTACCCCATGTACTACAAGAGCACCTCTGAGATCTGTGTGGGAGACCCGAAGAGAAAGGCAGCTTCCTATCAGGTGAGAAATAGCATCTACCTAGCCTGGCTCTAGGAAGAAGGATGGTTGGAGAAGATATGGGACCAGGAGACCCAATCAGTGAGGGGACTCCTTCACCCACTAGCTTGTGGTCTTTTTCCCTTGGGAAGAGACGAGGGGAACAGCCTGGCCGAGGAGTCACTAGGGTTTCTGCTGACCTCCCAGTGGTGATTCTGAAAAAGGCCCTCTTCCAAAAGGAAAAATTGGCAACTCTCTGTCCCATTCCAAAGGTCCTTGGATGGTGCAAACTGCGTTCAGCTACTAACCTAAGGTTGGTGCTTCTAGCCCACTCAGAGGTGTCCTGCCTATAAAGACAACCCTATGGAGCAGTTCTACTCTATTACACATGGGATTTCCAGGAGGCTAAATCAACATGACAGTAACTTTGTTTTGTTTTGTTTTGTTTGTTTGTTTATTATTGGGGGTAATCTTGCCCCACCCCAGGAAACACATACTAGAAAATAGCTCTCCCTGCATATGAAGTAATTAAAAACAGGCAGCAATTTAAGATGTGGCAGCCACTTGGTTACCGGCCTGTTCTCTATGCTGGATTTTGTTGCACTCGCCTACCTCTGTGTACTTAAACAGTAGCTAGAACCAAAGTCCCACAGTCCCTTATAGGGAGAGGATCCTGGACCAAGGAGCAGAAGGTAGGCCACAGCCTGGAGTCAGGTGAATCCATAACAATGTCTAGGCTCCGAGTTTGGCAGCTGAGAATTCCCAGAGGCCTACAGACCATCTTTATTCACACCATACAAGGTGACCTTCTCCTGGAGTGTGAAACTTGACAGGGCAGCAGAAACAGGAGGAGAACCAGCTCAGTCCTTCCCCTCTCTGTTCACAGGGAGACTCTGGAGGCCCGCTCGTGTGTGACAAGGTGGCTCAGGGCATTGTTTCGTATGGAAGGAAAAATGGGATTCCTCCACGGGTCTTCACCAAAATCTCGAGTTTCCTGATATGGATAAACGATACCATAAAGAGCATCCAAATGAAGAACTCAAACTGAACCTCTCTATGATTGATGTTCTCTGGAGGTCCAGCACCTTAATAAATGTGTCAGGCTGAGGGAAAAGTTTTGCTGTTTTGTTTATTCATTGACTTTCTTTCAAGTTCACCAACTCTGGGCTAAGTAGGCCAAGAACTCATCCTTACTTATCACTGTATCTCCATGGTCTGCTCTTCTCCAGAGCTGAGGTTGGACACCCTCAAAAGAAATACAAACCTCTCTGGTCTTGGCTTGGGTGAACTTGTTACTTCCTTCCCCTGTGCTACATGGCAGGCAGGAAGTGAAAGACTGATGAGTTCTGGAGGCCATGCAGGCATGTCACGGGTCACAAAGAAGAGCAAGAGCAGGACATTTCCCTCCTATTATAGCCAGGGAAGCTGGCAATTTTGGAGGTAGTGGTCCATGAGAAGTTCTTCATTCTCTACTGGGCTTAACTTCCTTCCTGCCAATCCCTGCCATGCTCTGAACTTAGGACCCAGCCCAGCGTCAAGTCCCCTAGCCATGTTTTCTCCTCCATTCCCACTTATCACAGAGAGTTCTCAGAATCCACCAACTCCTGTCCCCTCCAGACCACACTGATCTGAACTGGATCCCCTCCTCATCTTGCCACCAAGGACATCCAGAGCTCTGTGTGGATTCCAGCAGGGCCTCACATTTGGGTATTAACTCAATCCATGCTCTGGCAGAGAAGACCCTTAGAGGGGTTAGTGTTAGGCAGGGTCCTAGGAGAGCAGACCTGGTAGGGTCACTCTCCAGAATCGTTGATCCCAACACTCCCCTAGACAGAACCAAATCAACCCTCATTAAACTCAACATCCAGCTCAGTGCCCACCGTAAGCTCAAGTCCACTGCCCACCAGGTAGCCAGAGTCTCTGTTTGTCCCTCTTGTCACTGCTGGCTTCTAGACTAATCTTTCTGGGTAATAGCACAGATAATTATATCAGCCTTTGCAATTAGAAAGGATTTCTCTATGCAGTAAGAAAAGACAGCACAAATTTTGCACCAATCAACCAATAAATACACCTTGAATGCCTACTAAATGGCAGGCATTAAAGTGAATGTAACAAATCTGTCTTCTGTACCCAAATTAAACTGTGTCGAGTATTTTCATTGATATTGTCTAATGTCTCTCCCTTCTACCAGATGTGTCCATGTGGCCTAGTTCTATGTGGGAAAGACATAGGAATAGAAACATTTGCATTTTATTTTTCACTGCTGGTTACAGTTTGCATGAATGATCATGTGACCCAAGAACAATAGTCTATGGATTTGGAAATGACTGTGGTTTCTAGAAATGAAGATTTTGAACTGTGTTCACTGAAGCAACTTCACCTAGAAGAGAATGTAGACATGAATATAATTGTACAGAATCAACTTGTGGAAAAAATATTCATATATTTTCCTGAACACATTGGAGTCTGGCTTTAAACACACTTTCTGTTGAACTCATCGGTAACATAATTCCAATCATTATTGTAAGTTCTTGCCTGTGCAGAACCAAACTATAATCAGATACCCATGTGGTCTGGGAAAGTGGAGAATGCCTCTAATTTTAGGCTATCATGGCTCCTGATATGTCCAAAGTTTCTAGAAACACCTGGACTTTTCAACATTGGAAGTTCTCACCTTAGGTGCCAAGCATACAGTATGTGACTTTTGCTGAATATGGGCTCCAATTGCCAGTTGCTCCCAGCAGCCATTTGCTCTGAGATCTTGCCATTAATATAGGATACTATCTGTGAGCTCAGTGTCAGGCTCATTCCTGCTATAATGCCTCCTTGCTACCAATACACACAATACTATGCTCATCTGAGACGTGGAGTAATTCTTTCCTTCAGGATAATGTAAAAGGTATGCCTTCTTACACCTTGTCCACACACCACACTACAATACAATTGCTGAATGATCTTGTGCACCTTTATAAGAAAATAGCTTCTGATTTGCAGATGGGAAAGTATTCCTAAATTTCAAGTATCCAAGGACCTGGTTCCTTAATTGGAAAAAAACAACAACCAAAAGAGGAAAATGAAGAAAGCAAAACAAACATGTTAGTAATATAACCTACTCACATATATATTCAGTTTAATATTATATGTACTTTGAGGAACTGGTTCTTGGGTTTGAAACAAATTTGAAAACCATTGTTACAGGCCCACATTGCCTTTTGAGAGAGAAAGAAACAAAGTTCCAATCAAAGGTACCACAGAAGTTATGACAAAACCAAGTGCTCTGACCATCCGGTCGTCAAAAAATCTTAAATGTACTCTCATACCCACCATGTGATCAGTTCCTGGAATTCCTGGATGAGAGCTGATCTTCTCTTCCTGAAGAGAAAGCCTCTGGACTCTTTGGCAGCCATTGGGCAGACCCACAAGCAGAGTTAGGTCCCACAAGACCCACAAGACAGACAGACAGGGAGAACTGTTAAGTTAGCTCCTGGAGAAGAATCAGCTTTGGGCATGATACCTGTGGCACTGTGGGTTAATGCACCAGACTGCAAAACCGTTTGAACTGCAAGGTCAGGGATTCAAGCTCACCAGCTGCTCCTTGGAAACCCTATACAGGGTTGCTATGGGTCGATACCGACTCGATGGCACTTAACAACAACAACATCCTAATTTTTCTTTATAGTGCACAATATTAACTACAGTCTGAGGTCTTTTATTGATAATTTGACTCTTTTACTAACAATTTGCTACTCCAATGGTGACATCTGTCATGATAAAATATTTAAAACTATGGGTGTAAATTTTGCAACTCCATCTGGGGCATCGCATTTGGGAATCTTCTAATATGTTTTTAAAATTCCTTAAACACTGGCAGTTTTTGTTTTATAATACTTCAAAAATCTCTGTAGTGACCAGTGGGGCAGCAAGTTCCCTCCCCAAAACAGGTGTTTGGTCCCCTGAGGACAGTCCAAGAACAGGTGATGAGTCTTGTTAGGAAGACCAGCTAAGGTTCAAGAATGGGTGATGCTCTGTGAGGTGACTGGGGAGTGAATGCAGAGGGGCAGTCTTGCAGACAAGAGTCCAGTTGGTACCAAGGAATTGCCCGGGAAATTTCTTTTCTACTGTAAGGCTTTTCTGACTTTTTAAATTATTGTCAAGATTTTCATTTAAAAACCTATCCAACCCTTGGAGAGCTCTCTCTGTATTTTACTTCTGGTCCATCATGCTGGAATAGAGACAACTGTAACATGTCCTCTAAGAGATGGATGTTTGCCTAGTGTACACATCTTTGTGATTGTATTTGAGTTGTTGAAGCCCAGGTACGATCAGGTTTTGATCTACGTTGAATTAAGAACAGGTATGTGTATGTGCTGGCTAAAGAATAGGACAAGCATCCCAGATGCATCCTAATTAGTTTTTCTATTATAATCCTATAGGTAAAAATAAAATGAAGTGTCTGTCTAATGTTGTATGGCTAAAATATCAACTGGGTTAATTGTTGAAACACACCGTCAAATTGGTTCCGACTCATAGCAACTGCAGTGCCACACCAGGACTCCAACTGGGTTAATGTTGTTAAGGACCATCGAGTCTGTTCCAACCCATAGCGACATCATATAGGGTTTCCAAGGAGTGGCTGGTGAGCTTGAACCACCCACCTTGCAGTTCAAACAAACTTGGCAGTCCAGTACATTAACCCACAGCGCCACATCAGGACTCCAATTGGGTTAATAGTACCAAATACCGAATGTATATATTAAAAAAGAAAAGGAAGGGTCCTAAGTGATGTCACTATTGTGGGCAGATGGAGGACACTGACACGGGGAGTGTCCAGAATATCCTATGGCAGGGTGCAGTCTTGATCCCCACAGGTCAAAGGCCGCCAGCTGCGATGGCACAGGCCCAAGCTCCTCTGGTTCAGGGAGACTTGCATTGACGATGCCCAGAGACTAGCTACTCCCAAAAATAAGAACACGTTCATCTCACTGTGAGCCTCGGGTTCTTGTTGAGATGGAAGCCTGTTTGGCTGAGCTTGTTTTTCCGGAAGGGAGAACAGCCAGCCCCTGATGAGAGACTCTCTAAACTCTGCCAGCGGCCACAGAAGATCCCCCAGAGGCCAAACAACAGCAATATCTTTAATCACCACCAATATCCTGTTATACTAACCCAGAGGATGGCCATAACTCATGTTGTAAATCTGCCTCCCATCCCACCTATCGGCAATACCCTTTCCCCTTCCTTCCTGAAAAAACAATAAAAGCCCCAAACACCTGCCGCTCAGGACCAGCGCTACATTCTGGTGTTAGGCCCCTTCCTCCCTTGGAAAGTGAATACAGCTTTCTACATTGAAGCTCCAAAAATAAATAAATAAACCAAAAACCCGGGTTCTCATGTTTAAAAAAAAAAAAAATCTTTACGGAAGTAGAAAACCTCATCTTTCTCCTATGGAACCGCTGGTAGTTTCGAACTGCTGACCACATAAAATTGGTTCCGATTCATAGCGACCCTGTGCACAACAAAGTGAAACACTGCCCCGTCCTAAACAATCTTCATCGTTGTTGAGGAGATATGGATTACCGTATAGTAGGGAGTCGTGGTATGGCGCTGTAGAAAAACACTGAACTGCTAACAAGGTCAGCAGTTCAAATCCACCAGCTGTTCCTTGGAAACTCTATACAGGGTCACTGTGAGTTAGCTCTGACTCTACAGCACTTAACAAGAAGAACAATATATTAGGAGAAGAATATATTACTAAATATCATTTATTGTGTTATACATGTGCATTAAAATTAAACAAACAAAAAAATTAAATTACCAATGACTCAGTACTATTAAAATGTTGTGTATTTTACAGATTTTTCCCATGCAACATATTTTTACAATTAAAATGGAATTCTGCTATGTATAAGATAGTGTGTTGTTGTTGTTGTCAGGTGCCATAGAGTCGGAACCGACTCATAGCGACCCCATGCACAGCAGAATGAAACAATGTTCGATCCTGGGCCAACCTCACTACCGCTGCCACACTTGAGTCCATCAATGATGCCATCT